CTCCATCCCCCCGGGTTCATCCGTCCCCCGCGGCTTTTCCTGCCCCCTCCTTATCCATCCCCAGAGATGCTCCGTGGGGACGTGACCGGTTTCCGCTCCGTTCCTCGAGCAGGAGCGGGCACCGGAGCTTGTCGCTTGCACGCGTTAAAGCGGGGCTTTGTGTTCCGCTTAACAACGTGTAGCGCTGGTGTGTGCTTAAAGCTTCCGTTGGGTGTGGGCGTGTCTGTGTCCTAGGCTGCTCCTCACTGCCCTGTCTTCTCTCGTGCCTCTTAAGAAAGGTCTTTACCCTGACTTGGTTGGATCATTTTAAAGTGATTCTGTATTTGCGGTGTCCGGGGCTCTGAAGATAGTGAAAGTGGGATGCACAAAAAGGAGTGAAAATCCCTAGAATCTGTAAAGGGGATTAGTGCAGGCCTGAGTTACTGATTTGGTTTGGGTGAAATATTCGAGGTTTGGTGATGCTTTTGGATCTGTGCATTTAAAGCACTCAGTTGTGGAGCTGCGAGGACAGCAGTGTGGTAAATGGGCCGAGTTTGTAGTCAAAATGCTGCAAGGTGGGATGGCCCTGCGGGAGCCCTGAGCCCTGCATCGACTTTTGTAGCACAGCAGCCCCACTGCAACCTGACAGAAGGTAAATCCCCTTCAGAACTGTTTTATTTTGTTTTATTTTATTTTATTTTTTCAACTTGTATACTTTGGCTCTTTTTCTTCTGACCTGGAAATTAATCTGACTTTGATGACCAGTGCTTTGTTAAATTGATTCTTTCCCCCCTTATTTTAAGCCAGAAAGATTGGAAGGAGTGTCTGAAGTGTAAGGACTTGGAAAAGTAGACGATCAGATGGCAGATGAGGTTCCGTGTCAATGAATGCATGTTGAAGGGAAGCATGGGGCCAGTTAAACATTTTACAGGCATTTGAGTTGAATGAATCTGTTCTGGAAAAGGACCTTTGGATCATGGGCTCCGTGAATACTTTGCTGTGTATGACAGTAGCCGAAAGACCAAATGATGAACAAGGAGCACGGTGGAAAGTAAGAGTAAAATTGGAAAGTGTTGAAAGTGAAAGCCGATAAGTATTTTCTTGTTCATTTTAACTAGTAGTCAGAGTGTGAAGTTCTATGCAACAGCAAGTGATATGAAATCTGAACTGAAGATATTCAGAGGAAACTTGAATAGTAGTTTAGATAATGAAGATACTAGTGCTTTTTAATTTCTAATAATAATACTTATGATGAAGGAAGGAGAGGGAAACTGCCTCTTTCTTCAGTTTGTTTTCACCTAAGTTGAACATGCCTAAACTTTCTTCTCGTTCTTTTGGCCTAATCCTTTGGCCTAGTGTTTAGTAAGAACAAGTGGGCTCTCTATCATACTGTCTTCTCTGTGACTTTTTTTATGCTGCTATTTTATTTTCTGCTGTGGTGGGTTTTTCTCTCTATTGTTGCATTCCTACTTTTTTTTGTTGGTTTTGTTTTTTTTGTTTGTTTTTCTCTTCTCTGTGTGTGTGTTACCAGTATAGACTATGTCTACTCAGTGTACTCAGTGCTTCCAGCTTTTCCCAGTTTTGTTGGGGGAGATTACCTTTTTTCCATCCTGTTTTATCTGTCCTGCCTGCTCTCTGCATAGGAGATACTAGGATATACTAGGATACTAGCGCCATCAAATACTAGTATTTGGAATCCATCCAATGGTTGAAAGAAAAAGCTGCATCTTTTTCTTTTCTCAAGGTGGCAGTTGCCCAGTGTGACAGAACTGGCTCAGTGATAGCTCTGTTCACTTGCAGCTCTCTGTGCATCTTTATTAGATCTTTTATGTAAGACTGCCCAAATTATTTTTCTAAAACTTTCCAAACCATAGCAGAGAGTTTACCTGGTCCAGATGCTTGACTTCTAGTTGTTTGTCACAGTAACAGCCTAAAATCAGATGTATCTGAGTAGCCTCAGAGTCGCTGCTGTTGCCTGCCTCTGAATTTACAGCACAGCTCTGGTTTGGGGCTTTGGTCACGTATGGTAAAAAGTAGCCACCTGGGTTAAAAAGCTGCCTGTTTTGTGCTTCAGAACTGTGGAGCCTGCAGAATTAGAGATCCTGGAGAAGTAGATTTACAGGGTGTGATGAAAACTGATGTTAAAAAAAAGTTTAAAGGGACCAGAATTATGTAGAAAATACTCAAGGGCTCTTAGAAGTGTGTCTTTTTGTCCTTTAGGAAGGAAGAAAGAATGAGAGATTAATCACTGATCGGCAAAGAAATCACATGATCTTAAGAGTTTAGAATCTTTTTATTGTTAAGCTGTGTTGTGAATAGGCCGCATCATTTAGGGAATGGAAAATTTCTCAGTGGTAACTGATGAAATGTGTTCAGGATACTGAAAAACACATTTTCTTCCGTTCAAACTTGTTTTCCGCTGATACTTTCAAAAACATGCTTACTTTATTTCATTGATCCTAATTCAAATGTGTATGGTTAGTCTTCTAGATGCATTTTTTTCACCCATTTTTTCCCCATTAATGTTTTGGACAGTGTGTTTAGCGGATTCTGTCTGACTGACTCTTCTCCATTTCATTCTTCTAAGGGCAGGATCTCACTGAGATTTCGCTTTCATCCCTGTGCTTGTTCTCTGATGTCATTCTATTTTTTTTTATTATTACTTTTTCTGCCTTCAGTATGGCTTCTGTGGTAGTATATTTACCACAGTATAGCTTCCTTTTTCCAACTTCTGTTTTGTGAAAATAGTGCTGATAATGCTTCTGGTTCTGCTGTGATCCATCAAGTGATGGAGGGGGTTTTATCACCCTTGCTAATAATTCAGTGCTTCAGTAGTACACGTATGTGGGCAGCAGATCCTGCTGCCAGCACCGTGTGCCAGGGTGCTGTGGGTGGCTGAGCAGAGGGAGCAGCACGATGTGAAGACCCATGCCCAGCTCTAGGGGCATTCGAGTGAGATGTGTTGGTTCCTGCTGGTGGCCGTGCGTGGGGGCAGCGAACGGTCCCTGTTGGGGAGCACGATGGCCACGAAGGACCAACAGCAAGAAAGCAGTGCAAATGCAGCAATATGTTGTTTGGGTTGGGAAAAAACAAGCAAACACTTCCCCTTGCCACCCTGCCAAACAGTAACAACCAAATTTATTTAGAGAGTTTTTTATTTATTTTTGTCTGTGACTATTCCAGACTATCCTTGTGCTTTGGTTATGGAACCTACTTAAAGGACATAAAAGGAGCAGCATTTTCTTTTCTTCTTTTTCTTTTAAGAAGATACTGCTTTGTGTGTACCCTTGGTATAGATTAGATTCAAAATGCCTGGAGTGAGAGGCTGCTGATAATTACAGAAGGAGCTACTTCGTAAGGATTTACTCTCTAAAATCGTCAAAGGAAAGGCTTATGTTGAACCAAGCTTTTCACTAACCTCTGATGTGCTGCTGAGTTTTGTGTTTTCTCTAGTCATACCAAAGGATAGTTAAATGAATACAGGATAAAAGAGTATATCAAATATGGTCCTGTTTCTATGAAAGCAATTACATTTATTTCCAAAAGATTTTGCTAACAGATGGAAGTGAATTTAAGACTTGGAGTAGTGAGCAAAAGGTGACAAAAAGAAAACAAAACTCCAATAGTTCTAGGAAGGTGGTGTTCCTAATTTGTCGTAGGAAATTTGTCCTTGGTGTGCTGAATTTAGCTGTATAGTCTGTGTCCTTTTTTAGTTTAGTGTAATGAATTCTTTTGAGCTAATGCCAACAGATTATGGAGAACGACAGTAAAAGGATTTAGTTTTTAAATACCTAGTTTTTGTAAAAGAGAACATATTTATACATTTATGTGAAAAATTTTGCTTTTTTTTTAGGTAATCATTGAATGGGACTCCAGAAGCAGGTTGCTGAAACTGACAGGCAAGTGAGTATGCAGGTATTCATTGTTTTTCAAAAAAACAGTCTCTGATGATTAATAAGCCCTTACTATGATTTTTGATCATCTGTATTAATCATTATTTTTAAATGGCTTCAAAGATCTATCTCAATTAACTATTTTGCTTGTGCAAGGTTAGGGTAGATAGTCTTATCCTTCCTCCTGACTATGTCCTGCTGTTTCTTTCTTTTGTCAAATGTTTTTAGTAACTCAAACAAAAGGGAAATTTGAAAAGTATGATTCTGGCATTTTCTCATCTATTTTCAGCCATAGACATTACACAATTTGGGATTTAGGCGTGTCTCCTCTACAGCTGTCAGAATATTCTTTGGCTCTTCCTGTTTGTGTCATCTGACACAGCATAACATAAATCTCATGGTGTTGATTTATTTCCACCTGAATTTAGTTATTGTTTTTGATTTTGAAAGACACCTTTTTTTTCTAGGAAGAGAAGCTCATTTGTTCTGCCAGGTACCATTTCAAAACAGGAAAAATGGCATGCATAAAATAAACTTAAATCACAAATATATCGAGGAGCTTTGTCCTGGCTGTCAGAACAATGTGTCATGTTAACCTCTTTCTAGATGCTCAATCAAAATTATAACATTATATTAAAAAGCAGGAATTGTTCAATCTTAAAATAGAGGAGCCAAATCTTTTTATAATTCCCCCTAATTTTTGTTAAGCAGTCTCAACATTGTTGTGAAGTGTGTCTGTGTGAAATTGGTCATAGAGCTGGTATTTAAAAAATGCTTGTATTTCAATAGGACTCTTGTAAGTAGCTGTAATTATGCTGACTATATTGCACTAATTCCCAGTTTTTGCAAAAATCTGAGTTCTGTTTTGAAGTGTGCATACACAAATCTGTACAGATTAAGCAATGTCTCCCACAAGTATTATTCTGAGTTAAAACCACTTTCAAACTGTGCCAGGTATTCACTGCTCAGGTTCTGTGTGGAGAATGTAAATGTCTTTAAATAGCCTGGTGTATCAAAGTTGTACCAATAAAACTGTGTCTATAATCTCTTATAGAGCTGTTAACCTCTTCTGTAAGAGGTTAACATGGACCTTCACATTTTGGAGGTTTGAATAATGATGTTATCAGAACTTTGATTTCTAGCTTTTTTTTCTGACTGAAGTTCTCTGATTATTTTCTATAACAGGTAGGTTCAATTTTTAAATAATTTAAAAAGGAAGTGCATGTACCGAGCCTGTGCCTAATACATTACAGTGGGAGATACTGGAGAGCATTTATTCTCTGCTGACTGTGTTTTGGCTTCTCATAGTAAGTTTGGTGTTGGTTAATAGTGTTTTTCTTGTCTTTAGTGGCGTATCGGAGAGACGACATGTGGTCTGAAGGGCGATATGACTATGAAAGACTTCCAAGAGAACGCCTTCCTCCAAGGATGCATCCTGATGCAAGTGTACACTATGCTTCTTTAGGACTGGGCTCAAACTATAGGGGTTGTGTTTATAGAAATAATTGAGTTTCTAGGAAACTTTTACATATTTTTTCCCTCCCCTGGTTCAGTTCTCCTCTCGTTCATTTAAACCAAGAATCTAGCAAATGGATCTTCACAGAGAAAATATGATGCCTACCCAAGTAGCCGTTGTATGTTTTGCTGCCAAAATCCCTTAGAAGTATCTGCGGCATATTCTGATAAGTTGTTTTTCAGTTTAATTATGTGTAATTGCACACAAGATCTTTAATAGTTTCTGGAAGAACTAAAAGCCTTAGTTTTTACTCAGAACTATTTTTTTTAATGTTGATGCATTTTTGAAGGTATTCAAAAGGTGGTAAAATAACTTTCAGCATTGTTCTTGTTACTAGTGCTATTTTTAATAAAATGTTTAAAGATTAGAAACAAATGTTGGTAACAAACTTCTAAAATAGGTATTTTCTAGACATGTTATATTTTGGAGCCTTGCAAGCTAAAAGCTTGCCAAGAAGAGTGTTGATGGAAGTCTGTGGAGGCATGAAGACTTCTACTATATGTTATATTTGTGAAAGTAAAAAACCCAGAATCTACTGTTGCTCTTTGCTAGGTTAACTTCAGAATGCTTTTAGAAAGTCACGGTGCTAAAGGAGTAGGTGCAAGAATGCTTTTTTTTTGTTTTTTTTTTCCTCCCCTCTTTCTGTCTGAGATCACTAAAGAAGAGAGAAAATGGGTTGGAACAACAAAATTCCTGCATTTTCAGTATACTAGAAGCCAGTTAATTTTGCACAAGGGTGTTTAGTCAGCCGCTTCTCGGATCGAGTAGAACACAGGTGATGGTGCTGCGCCCTGCTGAAAGGAGGCTATGTAGCTCCTCCTTGTATGGCTCTGCACCCTCAAGATGGTTGGCAGGCAGTTTCTCTCCTCGTAAGCCCGTACTGTTGTGACTGTTTGTGCATATAAAATATTTTTGGCCAGACAAGCAAAGTAGCATCAATTTATTCATCAGTGTGTCTTATGAATGCGTCAGTGTTTGTTAGTGGGTCACTGTGTTGGGATTGAGAGGCGCCAGGGGTACAGAAAGCAGTGTCTCTCTTTCAAGAGAGCAAGGGACCTGTCCAAATCCAGTGTTAATTAGCATGTCAGCCCATGTGAGGTGGGCTTTTGAATGAGGTTAAAGCACAGAGCAATTTTGCTTTAGCTTCATATCATATCTATCTTTTCAAACTGAAAAAAAAAATGTTTTGGGGGATGTTCAACTCAGCGAAGGTTGATTGAGCCTTGTGACTCTGTAGATTTGCACACAGCCTCTACTTTGTATCAGTGGGGCTCTAGGTTGCCTTGCATTGCCCTCTAGTGAATTTATTGGGTGGTCTCTGAAATCAGAACTAACTTTTTTTTGCATGATAATCTTTAGCAGTTTGTTAATTGAAGATACTTTTCTGGAAAAAAAAACCTTTTAGTTATTTCATGATTTCTGCAGCTAGGGAAAAGTTCTAGCTTGTGCACATTGTTTTTTCACCTTCCAAATTGCATGCACTGATTCAAGCCTGCATTTTCTATCTGGAATTTTTAAGGTGCATGACAAAAATCATGTTAAAGGAAGAAGACTTAAAAGATAAGGTCTTGAGTTTATGTTTTCACTTACTTTTTTTACTTGCAATTTTGTTTATGTAAAGTTCAGTTCTTTGAAAGTAAATTTGTTTTTCTAGCAATTTGTTCTTAATAAAGAAGGGATGTCTTTAAGTGGTAAATGATGTTTGATGTTTTATTTGAAAGAAATAGAATAATTCTACATCGTAGCAAAGAGCCACCAAATATGTGTGGAAAAGAAAGCATGGAATGTATAGAAAAGGTCTGTCTGTTCAGCTTATGCACTGTCTTCTCTGTCATCTCCATAGCATGGTGGGTGTTACTGACAAAACATAACATTTACAAACTGATTCTTGGCCTTATAGCCATTTCAGATGTAGCTTTACTTATTGCATTCTTTTCTTAAGTTAATGGTGGAGGTGTCTGAGAAATATATGTAGCTGATGCTTAAAAAAAGGGCAAATGCTATTGCTTTACATTTTCAAAAGAATCTTCAGCTGCATTTGGGGTTTTCCATCTTTAGTTAAGCTAGTAGTGCGGAAGGGATGCATCTGTTGGGCTTCAGTTAGAGCAATAAGCTATTCCAACATCAGACTGACCTGACTTTTAATGCATATTTTTCCCTTCTCCTATTTTAGTTTTAGATTATCACTTTCCAGTATTTAAGATTTTTTTTGGTGGTTGTTTTGTTTTCTGTGCTTCACAGTTGCTAACAGCGATATGATTTCCCTTGTCCTGTGGTTTAGGATGACTACCACAGAGTAGTGAACGTTGTGCCCAAGAAGCCAGCTCTGTTCGAAAGACCAGGGGATGGCGGATACGGTCGCTACGATGACTACAACCACCTGGACTACAGGGACTACGAGGAGGGTCGCGGTTTCGCCCACGAGCGGAGAAGTGGCCCAGCACACCGCGGTGTACGTAAGGTGATTCTCCTCTCGTTACCGTCACCCTGGTCTTCTCGTTAATGCTCCAATGCTGAGCAGTGGTGACTCGCATCGTTCGTGTGTAGCGTCGCTTCCAAATTGAAAGAGGATGATAGAGAAAAGCATCCCGGCTTCCATACTTTTGTGCAGTTATTCTGCTTCTGAGGCTCTTGTAACTGATGATGCCATGTTCTGATTTGCTGCTTCTGTCGTTCCTAGTTGCCCTGTGAACATGGAATGCTTTTCCAATTTTCTGGAGAGCTCAGAAAGTCTGATTTGGGAAAATGGGCGTTGCTAGAAGCCCTGTCTAATGCGATGTAAAGTTATCTAAAGGAAATAGGTTGTGCTTTTTTCATATATAACAAGTCCTTCTGTGTAGGACTTGTTGAATTTCTCTTTTGAAAAGATACTGATCTAAATTCTGTCATGGTGTTGGTTACATTTTCTTCCAGAAGCTACATTTAAGTAGAAAAAAATGAGATTTTTTAAAAGGTTATGATTGCTGCTTACCCCAGCCCCCTTATACTTAACTGCCTGAATTCTGATAAGAATTTACATTGTAATGAGGAGATTCCCCCTCCTTACTGAAACTCAGGAGTTCATACGCATAGTTGTGAGAAAATAGAAATCTTTATTGTTCTTAGTGTTTCATACAGCGTTTCAAGATAGTTGAGGTGTTTTTTTTCTTTTTGTAATTATACAGAAGGACAAAAAAGAAGTGGTTGGAGTGAACAGAGTAAATCTCTGCAAAAGATTAATACTTTCTTTTAGCTTTTTCTACACTGAATGAGTAACATGTGACTACTAATCACACATCAGTGTCTGTGTGTTGCAGGATAAATCAGGATACAGATGGCCCAGGGATGATCATTCGATAAGTCGGCAGCCTGAATACAGGTATGTTGTAAACCTTGACAGCAGTGCCCCACGGAGAATCGTGTAGGTTGGAAAAATGTCTATTCCACTCTCCTGCTCAAAGCAGCCAAGTTAGGATCCTCTCTAGATGGGCTTTGAATTTGGAACCATGAAACTTCTGGGAAACTTCGTTTCAACAATGCTGGATGTTGGTTAACAGATATCTTGCCCTTCCCCTTGTGGTAGTCGTTGAAGAACTACTTTTCCATCTTTGTTGCTGTAGTCCTTCAGACAAAGTATGAAGTTTTATATGCTACCTTTATATTTTAATATATGTATAAATATTACTACATGCAGTAAACAGTGAAATGAATGCTGTGTTTTTTAAAAATATTCTTTAAAAAAGTTCTCTTCTGTAGACTATCTGACAAAAATGTGTTGTAAACTGTACATCTACTTTGATCATAGTCTGTCTTGACATCTAACAGGTTCACATTTATAATATGTACTTATGGACACTTATGCTTTGAAACGATATAGAAACAGAGAAGGTCTCCTGTATAAACTTATCAAACTGTTTACTTATTCTTTAGGACTTTCCTTTCTTTTTTTTTCTTCTGATTTTTAGTATCAAAAGAGTTCACAGAGTAATAAAATGATAGGGTTGTGGACAAGACTGGATATTTCTATAAAACATCATACTTATGTGACCACCATTTAATCTCTGCCTTAAATTCCTCTCTATGAAATGTTAGGAAAGTATTAGGCAGTGTGACTGTAACATACATACATTTGCAATAATGTCTGGTATGGGACTGTTTGATATAAATCAAGTGTGCAGGACAGTGCACTATATACGATGCCTCCTAAATATATTAGGTACTGTTCTTTGTTACCTCTGAAACCAGTTTTGTCCAACTGATTGTTGCTAACTTGTGCCAGTGAGTCTGCAGTGCCAGGCTAGTGCCCTGTCTCTCATCATCCCACGCCTGTGCTCCCCTAGCGCCCATCCTGTATTTCCACTTCTCAAGGCCCCTGTTGTGTTATCAGGTCTGTATTTCTGTGTGCTGCATCAGGGGGTTAGTTGTAAATATCGTGTTCTACATAGACTAACTCCTTGTTGCTGCAATCTATATAAAGTTAGGATTGTATCAGGTCAAGATTAAAAAAAAAAAAAAAAAAAAAAAAAAAAGGAAAACATATTAGCTATAGACACCTGGTCAATAGCTTTTTCACCTACAGCAAATAAACTAAAACTGCAGGGAGACCAAGAAATGTTCAGAAAAGCCTGACAAGCCTCAGAGCTGAGGCACTGTAAGCTCCGTGCAAGGCCTCTGGCCCCTTTCTAGCAGCAGCAATACCATACTGCAGGGCTGCACAGCTGCACTGTGTATGTGTGCCTTTGAATATGGCAGTTTAGACAGAGCGTTACTGGATTGTTAGGTAATTTCACAGGAAAAGGGTTTGCACAGTGTAAGGGTTTTCTCCCAGGCTTGTTTCACTGAGGCTAGGAGCAATAGTAAAGGGTTTCAGAAAGTAGTTTGTGTTCTGTAGGAACTTGTAGGAAAACTCCTTCATCTTCTCTCCTGTTTAGAAGGATTAGTTTAAAGCTGTGAAGAAGGGACTGAGCTACTGCCAGGCAGTTTATTTTGCACAGAACAAGAGTGTCACCCAGTGGTCAAAAAGATTCTCCTAAGTGTTTCCTCCTGTTTTTTTCTGTTAAAAATGAGAGGATAAAATTTCAGGCTGTTATGCTGAAGCCATAGCTCCTGTTTGAGTCTTTAGCGTGTGTAACTGTTATACAACAGTTAAAAGAATCTGAAAGAACTTTGTAGAGGTAATTGGTTGAGGGTGTAGGAATGGATTTATAATTTAGTAAAACCTTTACTGATTCATTATATAAACACACGTGAGCATATCCCAAGTCTGATTGAACAGAACAGGAACACTGAATACTCCTGGATATCAAAGCCTGTGATCAGACTATTAAACACTTGTATAATTGCATGCTTGGAAATAATAGGATTTTTTTTTTTTTTTGCGTATTGTTTGTTGCTGAGCTGTGTATTGGATCTCAGCAGTGGAAATCAAAGTGCAGTACTCGGTGTATGTTATCTCCTGTGGTGAAAACTCGTAATTATCCCTTGTCCGGAAAACATTTACGTTGTAAAACATAAGATTTGATAATGATTATGTAGGACCAAGCTATCTCTTTGGATATGATGAAAGATGCTTTCCTTGAGTTCTCAAGGAGTACATATAAAGTGGCTTTTTTCTTTGAGATAAGAAAAGGAGACGTAAGATAAATTTGAACTACAAATGAGAGCCATTAGCCCTGTTTTGAACCATGCTCAGTGAACAGCTCTCTTGTCATAACGTCATGCTTTATATATAAATAAAATTACTTTAATATATATGTTTTTTTAAATAAGAGGGAGGATGTGCTGGCCATAGACTTCAAAAAGTGTTCCCAGATTTCCTGTGCTGAGCCAAGGGACTCTTTTCTGAATTTCTTCGCTCTGGGAGTTAATGAGATTTATGTAACCTTGCGGTTGTTGTTAGGCTTGATAAAGTTATGTGCCATTTGGTTCAAACTTATTTGGCAAATATAGAAAATAGTGTATTGTGCATCAAAGCAGGATCCCGTCACCGTTGGTGAACGGAGAGTTATTTGCACACAGGATGGTCATTTTAATGCCTTAATCCCTGCTGCTATAAGAATTGTGAAATTTAAGTTATGAGTGGAGCAGAGCTTAAATAACATGTGACTTTTTTTGTACATTTATTATATGCTGACTGTGATGTTCAGCACTCTTCCACGACTATGTTATTACTTGTCTTTAATGTTATGTGACCTGAATTATTTGCAGCACTTGGCCCTATTCTTTTCAGGAGTGTCACATTGTTGGAAAAACTGCAGGGAGCTGTTGACAACCTGTAGTGAGTGGTACAGCCCTTCCCCTTGGGCCTCCTAGCAATGGGTTTTATGAACCGTCTCATTGTTTTAAATTCAGATAAATCCTTCTGTGTAAAATGCTTTAGAGGATTAACTGTTTCATTTTAGTCATACTGAATTTTGACTTTTTTGAGTCCTCAGAGGATTACTTCATCTTGTTTTCACCAAGCTGAGCTCATTGGTTATCACATATATGAAACTTGGCAATTAAAATGGGTTAAGACTCATACTCAAAGAGAGATTGGAAAGTGATGCAGTTGTAAATTCCAGCTATATGCACATTAAATTTTCTATTTAAACTTAACCTAAGGTCCAGATTTTTTTTTTTAAGTAAAGATTGCAATATGTGTCGACAAAATATTCTGAATGGATACAGTGACAGCTCATACAGTGAAGACTCCTGACAAGTGACTCGGGTAGGAGACTCTTAGTATCTCCCCTTTGTTAATAAAGGCAAATTTGCCATGAAACAACAACAACAAAAGAAAAAGCAACAACATGTGTGAAATTAGGATATAGCCTTAGTCTGGTTCTTACTGTATCCAGTTATGTAAAGCAGACCTACTGATCTGCAGGGCATCAGGCACATTGTTTTATTTCTATTTATTACAAAACGTGGGATGGTAGAAATAAATTTGGCTGGGGAAGATGCTGAGACTTGACTTTAAGTAACTAGTCATTTGAGAACAACTGAGACTCTTCAGTCAGTTCTATATTTTGTTCCAGAAGTCTTTTGAATTGGTGTCTCATTGCCTCCCATTGCGCCTTTAGGGAGGTAAAGTATAATATGTCCTCATTTTTGTGGAGAGGTGAAACCTTCCCATGTGTTTACTAAGGTCATGGAAAAAATTGGTAGCCAGGTGGGGTATAGAAGTCTGTCAATCTTGGCTATCTGGTCTCTGCCTGAGCTGCTGTTTCATTTACTGCTTCACTTCCTCCTGGAGCAGTATGTAATGGTAGGATATTCCGGAGAAAGGTTTAAAGATTTTTGCATTAATAAAATAATTGTTCTTTGGTAAGAATGGCTGCTTTAAAATGAAACCCTTGGCAAGAGTCTCTTCAAATGGAAGCTAATGGTTGCTAACTCTCAGTAAAGCAGGATTTAATATTCAGGTTCTCTGGAAGTTTTTTTTCCAGACACATCATAGGCCAAGGCAGTTATCTTTGTATAATTACTTGTGCAATCAGCTCTGAATTAAAGAAGGATTTTTTTTCTATTTTTTTTCCTAAGTATTTCCATGAATTAAATGAAACACTGAACCTATTTTGAATATTTTATGTTCATTTAAAACACAGCATATTATAGGAAAGTTTAAATTTAAACCTGAAGACCTCCCACAATATAATGTAAACTGATCTTTGTCTTGCTTACAGAAGAGAAACTTAGCCAAAGGGATTTATGAGATGGTGCTAAAAATGTACATAAGTCTGCTGTTCTCTTGCGATATTTGACAGGTCTTAAGGGACGCTATACAAGAACTTCATTCTTCCCTAAAAAGTATGTGCGAAGGCAAATCAATGTGGCAGCCACCCAAAGAAAATGGCCTTGCTTCTGACAGAGATTGATAAATAGAGTTCTAATCATGTTTGTTAGCACTCTTTTTTTTTTTTTTTTTTTTTTTAAGAGTGGGGGGGGGTGGAATTGCCCAAACTCAGACTTTGCCAGGGCATTGAACGTTTCAGTATTCACACATGCTACTAGAGTAACCTGTGTTTATTCATGAACTTAAATTATGGTTTCCTTATAATATGTTACTGTGGTGGACTCGGTACACATCATCTGCAGAGTTCTTGTTTTTGTTGAGCAGCCCCCTTGTATTGGGCCGTTAGCTGAACCAGTTCAGCTTGGCTCCTGAATCCTTTCTTCGGGAGGTGGAACCCTTTGGAGCAAGATAATAGCCAATAGATTCTTTACAAGGAGGTTTTATCTTATGCTTTGTAGTTAATGACTTTGTATTATACTTTGTGTCTTATGAAACCATGTTCATGATTCATCAGTTGCTTCATTCCCTTTGAAGTGTTTTCTGCTCTGTCTCTTTTCCAGCTATTTTATGGCACAGACGATACATATGTGCAAACTGAGATT